GTTGAACAGGAAAAGTAAAGGGACAGCCCAATGTGGAAGAAAAGGAGCCAGTGGGGAAATGGCAGAAGAGGAGAAAAAGTCAAGATGATGCATCTTGTCCTCATTAGAGAACTCTTTCTGTTCTGCAGGTGCTTTTCGTGGCAGTTAACTGCTGGTGGAACCAGGGGAAATGCAGGAAACAAAAACACTTCTTTTATTTTCCTGTGATACATTTGTACCATCGGAGGTAAGTTATGCAAGTGCAATTAATCTGGATTCTAAATTGCTTTGGTAGATGGCGATACTGTTTAAATAAAAAATGTGCTAGAAGTGTCATGCTTGCAGCTTGTTATGCACTGGTAAGAGAAGAGATTAATTTCTGGCCCGATAGCTAGCACTAGGCTTCTGTACCACTTGAATTCTGTTTATAATCCTCGTAGATATAAGGGCATAAATGGGGCAGAGGTCTAATGCTGGCAAGCCCTCTTCAGACAGGTGTACTTCACTTTCTTAATTAGTTACTTAGACCTAATCCTGTCCATTTCTTTGTCTTTAAACAAAATTCTGGTAACTTTTTAATTAATGGGAGGTTTGACTCTAATGAGGGTCTGAGAATTCAGACTTGCATGATTAGTTGTGTTTTTAATATTTTCTGTTTTCTACAAAGGTGGGTTGTATTACATGGTCCCAATTCACATTGCATCATGTGCATCACATAGTCCCCCTGTTTATGGTAATCTTTAAGTATGTACTTAAGGCAGCAGTGGGTGCCTGGGACACTAGCTCTGGGCACCTACTCAGAGGGGGCACAAGAATGGCAGATGCTGTTGCTGCTGCCCCAGCTGCTTGGGGTGCAGACCCTGGTAGTTACGCTTCTGGCTTAACCATTGAATCTAATTGGATTTAAGCAGGTGCTTAAGTCTGTTTGTGCATTGGGACTATATCAGTGTGTATAACGTGCAGAAGTTGAGGATCTTTCTATATCTTTTTTTAAAATTTGAAAACAGGATATCGAACACAACGTCCAGTACTCAGTACGTAGGAGGTAGATGCTGTTCAGTCTCCCATGCGTGTTTATGCCTGTGACTCTTTTTTAAAACCTGCACCATTTCTCCTAGTCCTGCATTTCTTCTGAGGGTGGCTGCCTAATCTTAGATTGTGCAACACTGGAATGGGGTTGTGGGTTTGGGATGTGCACATATGTTTACTAATCTTTCCAATTGGCTAACATTTATATGGAAATTGCACTGATGATTTAAATAGATATAAAACGAATACATTTATTTCAGTGAAAAATCTAGTAGGGGAAGTGCATCAGTTTAAAACTGTTTCTTTAGTCTGTAAATTTGTCAACACAAACAAGTTATAAAAAATACAGTTTAAACTGATGGAGTGACCACATGCAAAGTTGGGCCTAAATAATAGAAGGTGAGAATTGCAAGTAATTTAATTATTCCAGTTTGTCTGAATTCAAGCCAGCTCAAATTGTGTCTGAGCTGAGACTTATGTTTCCCCAACATGATTCCTATTCATGTAGTCTTTCTTCTTTCTTTTAAGCTTTCTTTTAATCTAAACTGTTTGTATGTATAAACAAACAGACAATCCACCTCAGTTTGCAGGTTGTATTGAATAATATATTTGAGTTATTTAGGCCATGTAGAGGAGAAATGCTTCCCCCAACTCATGAGACATTAAACCTCTAATATTGTGTACCGTGCATGCAAAGTCATATTTTCCATCTTTCCTTTTTTTTCTGACATAACAATGTTCCCGGCTGTTGATACAATGCATGTTGCTAACAATTTAGAGATTTGTAGTAATATCAGAGTATCAAATGACGTGATCCAGTGGTGTGGCTCTAGAGTATTGATTCAATCTGTTTGAATAGATTGTATTTTAAGTGCAGATGTAACTTTTCTCATTGTACTAAGTTTATGTATTATAGAAAATTGTTTAAAAAATGAATCAAGGTTCTGACAAACTTCTACAATGGAATGAAAAAAAAGAGTAAAGTTTACACCACATTTTTAAATGGTATCTCTCTACTGCATCTAATGCTTTTTTTTCTTTTGAGAAACTTATTTTATTTTGCCATATGATATTAAGTTGTTGTCAACTGGCAGTTAACAAAGGTCACTTGTAAAAGCCTGCTTAATACCTTCTTCTTGCTAGGGTGATAGACAAGTGCAAATGCTGCTATTCTATTTTAATACTTTAAGTTACTTTTTTCAGGAATATTTTTTTCAGGTCTGTATTATTCCAGTTATGTGCATCAATTAATATGTATGGACCAAACAGAAAAGCCTATCTGTCTGTATGCTAACTAGAATATAGGGTAATTTTGCCCTTTTTTGTCTACTTTTTTCAATAGGACTCAGAGGCTGTCTTAATTTTCCATTTACCACATTGCAACACGTACAAAAGTAGCACTGCATTGGAATTGTTGCTTCAGCTGAGAAATTCTGAACTGAACTTTTTTCTGATCTGACAACACTGCTTTTGTCAGTTGTAGAAGATACTGTTCATCATCACAAGGAGTGCCCTCCGTTCCTTAGGGACTGAGTGTGCTGGCTGTGTAACAGTCCTAGCCTCACCATCCCCAGGAGGGACTCCTTCATTTGTTAATTTAAGTCTTAATGTATTATTATTTTTTTTGGTACTAGTTTTGGACCAATTGAATACAAAGGCCCTATGAGTGCTGTTTATATTGAAAAGTTTGTTCGTCGGGTGATGACACCACTTCTCTACATCTCGTCTCGATCAAAATTACTAGATTTCCTCTCAGATTATGAGGTACTTGTCTCTATTCTCTAGCTTTACAGTTTGTAGTTCTGAAAGAATTTGATTTGTTTTAGGATTAAATATGAACAGCTCCAAAGCAAAGGCTTTTATCAGAGTCTCAGAAATCTGCAGTGCCTCTTAAGTGTTGCAGTTGTAACGCACACAAAATTTATAGACCAATAATAGCACTTCCTAATGCACTGCCTACATTTTCTGCATTATATGAATGTTATCCTAGTGTATTGTCACTAATTCTTATTGCACCAGTGTCTAGGGTCCACAACAGTTTGGGACCCCAGTGTATGGGTGGCTGTTGTATGAACTTAGTAAGAGCAAAGGCTTACCGTCTAAACTGGAAAGGCAGACCGCCAATATATAATTGATTGAATGTTTAAACAGTCAATTGAAAATTGTGCATTTCTAACAAATAAGCAAAATGGGCAGGTAAGAAACAATATGAAATCAATTGAATAAATAATATCTAGAGAGAATCTTTTTCACTAGCTTTATACTTTTAATCCACTTCAGGGAGTGCTTCATTATGTTCCATTAACTTTAACGTTTTTGCTTTGGAAGGAGGAGCTAAAGTTGGTAACAATACTAACAAATAAATGACTCCCAATTATTGGAACAACACTACCGTGTCTGTAACATGATGAAAAAATGGCATAGTACTGTTAAAAAAAAAATGCCAAGCTGAGTAAAGTGTATTTGTTCTCTGCATTGTGGTAGTGCCAGAGGTTATTAGCTGCTTTCCAACTGTGAATAAACCATGCTATCTGCTTTGAACAGCAGGCAGACAGATGAAGGCTGGGTGAAAGGAATACCACGTACAAATGAAATCAGTGTGGTTGGCACATGTCTTAGTAACTGCTTGCTTGTTTGTTTCAGTTTATGGGGGAGTGGTTTGGCACAGAAGAGAGGGATGATGAGGGAGGGAATGGATTTGAATGGGAGGAAGAATGACTGGCAGATAAGTTGAAAGCAAACTGGTGGGAAAGAAAAGGGAGCTGGTAGTTTGTCAGGGTGGTTAGCTCTGAAAAATGAGGTCCTGATGTGATGGGAGTTTACTTAAAGGGAAGAGAGCAAACACATTTAAAAAAAGATCTGAAAATCTACTAGTTCATAGATGAAGTATCTAATGGGATTGGGAGGCTGGTAAGATTCTTGATAAGGCTAACGTTCTGCCTGTGAAGAGCTCTAGACTTCCTGTTTCTCATGTTGAAAGTTTCGTGCATTAGTGGAAATGGAAGTCTTGGGCTCCCAACCCATGGTATGTGCAACCCTTTTTATGTATTGTTTTGAGCAAGAATCAGTTTTGGACTGGCTTGTTCTTGTCCCAAGAGTGCCAGCTGCAAGAGGCACTTGGGGATATGATTTACCTTAACGATATTGTCTGTCTCCTTCACTGCTAGTCCACCATCTGTGGTCTGGATCAGAGTAAAAAAAGTTAGAACTACGTTGTTCTGTGGCCCTGTGGTGAAATGCTTGCTGGTCAGTGGGAGGCTTGCACAGACCTCAGCGGTGGTACTTGTTTCATATGTAGCAGCTAAACATTTTAGTTGTCATTACATACTAGATGTTCAGTAGCTTGTCAGATTTGGTATGGTTCAGTGCTGAATGACCACTGGTATTTCTGTCCTTTGTTACCTTCCTATCTAAAGGCTCCTTACTCTATTTCATTCTGTGTTTTGTTTTTTTGTTTGTGTGCGTATCTGTCCAGTTTTTGGATCAGCTGGGTTTTCTTCCTGTACGTTACTTATTCTTTCTGGTGAAGTGGTCAGCAACAAACTGGTTAAAGTTAACAATAACATTTTGTAGGTCAAATGAGATTATTGAAGAATTAATACATAACCCCCTCCTAACCACGGCTTCAGGGCATCTGTTGTTGCAGGCAGGTATTGCTGCATTTTTAAAGCTTGACTTAGAAGTTTTTATTTGAGACTATGAAAGTAAGAACTTTGTTTAACTGAAAACCTAAGCTGTGATTGTGCCTCTGGTTAATAGTTCACGTTTTGGTGATATCCAGTTAGAATTCCTCTCCTCGCAGTCAGGTTGTCTCTTACAGTTGAATTCTTTATTCCTCATTATGGAGGCCACACTTAAATGGTAGTACAGTGTTGGCCTGTGCAATGAATACTGCAGTCACTAAAAGTACTTAACAGAACGTGACATGGGCATATAGTACATATGTGGGTTAAAAGCTGTAGAAAATAATATGGGTTAACACTTTAAACAGGTAGATCCACAAAATGATAACCTTTATGTCCATTTTTATATGACTTGTTTACTGTTTACTTTGTACAGTTGAATAACATACCTTTCATGATTTGATGATCTAATTTCGTTGTTGTTTTTTTTGTCTAGTCAGACCTGTCCTCCAAGCAGAACAGTATCTATTGAAAATGAAATAGTACTTCTTGGAAGTATGTATTTGTGAAAATATCTAATGTTGTGGGTTTGACTTAAATTTATGGAAGGCTGAAAGTTCAGAGGTCAACCTAGCACTCTCTTCTTATCTCACACTGACCTTTCAGGGAAACTGTTGCATTATTTATGTAATGTTCCAGAAGTTCCATGAAGGCCACAATTATAGAAGTCCTTTTAGGTCAAATTCTTATTTTTGTTAATGTAATTCCAACTTTGAGTGCATTAGTGTAGTTAGTTGATTTAATTTATCTTACCTGATACTAAAGATAAGAAATCTTCATGGCGTAAATCTTTGCATTTTGTACTCATATCCAGATATATGGAGGCAGTTAAGCCTATACTGTATCCTGGAAAGAACTCTCATTTTCTGTTAGACATAGCTTTTTTTTTTTTGCTTACAAAGGTATTGTTGCTATGTTCTGGAATAGCGGGGGCCAACTTTTTGGCAGGCATCCTCTAGCCCAGTGCTTCCCAACCTTTTCCCCAGCATGATCCCATTTAAACACTAGAAAATTTTTGTGACCCCAAAAATGATGTAGACAAGATCAATGCCTCTTCCCTCCCTCCACAAGCAGTGTGGCTGGAGTGGGGCCTGTGGGAGGATGCAGGCTGCCTGCTGTGGGCTCAGGGGGACCCACCTCAGAAGGGTGTGGGGGAGGCTTGGTGCTGGTGCCAGAAGCCCCGTGCCAGCAGCAGCAGCATTGAGTTGTGCCCTTTGTTGCTGCTGGGCAGGCAGAGAGTGCCTTACAGTGGTGGCCCAGCTGGCGTGGGGCTCCCAGCAGTGGCACCCAGCTTTTCCATCTGCTAGGTAGCACAGCAGGGCACGGAGCCATGAGCCCACAGCAGATAGCCCACATCCCTCCCCGCCCTCTGCACAAACCTGGGGGGCACGCATCCCCCATACCTCTCTCCCCAAGGGTGCACACAGCAGTGGGGAGTCAGCCCCCCACTACCTCCTGGACAATCTGCCTGTGGCTCCATCTTGCTCTCCCAAATGGTCCCTGCGTTCCTGCCCTGGCCTCAGACCCCATGCACCAACCTGGCTGGGCAGGGCCCCCTGTCCCATGCCCTTCCTCACTGTGGGGTCCTCAATCTGTTTCTCCCTTCCTCCTCCCTCCTTACCCCCATAGACTTACCTGGAAGGAACTGCTCTCCATGCTGCCTGGCTACCATGTGTATGTGTGCATGTGCATATGCACATGGCACCCACTGCCTGATTGCCCTCCTCATGCTCCTCCTGGTCCCAAGCAGCCCCTTGTAGGCTGAAACTCTGCCATCCTGCAAGGGGAGCTTGCCATTTCCTGCCTCTTGTGTGTGATTTTTTTTTTTTTCATTATAATGGGTCAACATTGTCAAGTGTCTTTGCAACCCCATTTTTTATCATTGTGACCCCAAATGGGGAGTGTTACTCCAAGGTTGGGAACCACTGTCATAGCCCCTCACTATCCCCAAGTATCACCCAGATCCACTTCCATTTTCCATCTTGCTGCTTTGCTTTCTGCTTCCTGCTCAGTGTTCCCTGCCCACTCAGCTTCTCTACTTTGTGATCCTGCCCTATCTGATGCACTGCTTCCTGCTCCTTCCCCACACAAAGACTGTCAATGCCACTTGTACCATGTGTGCTGCAGGTTGGCTACCTCTGTTCTGGCGAATTCTAACAGATTATTTTAGTAGGAGATTATTTTCAATAAATATACATTATGAGGTATGTTCCAGTGTGAGCGAGGGACATGAGCAGGTCATTAGTATATATTATTATCATGCTTAAGTGCAGTGGTTGTAGCTTTTTCCTGCAAACCCATGGCATTATTAGCATTTAATAAACACTCTTCTGTTAAGATGATGCAGTCCTTCACTGCTGAAGACATCAATGACGCTGTGTGTTTCTAGCTAGGGGTATCCAGCATGCCACTCTTAAAAATACTTCTGAATTAATAACAATGAATCAATGTTTTAATCCGTCTAAAACGCAGTGGCCTTAGTGTGACAAACAGGTTATTAGCCTGGGTTCAGCTTTACTCGCATGTGGCAATTTTGCTTGTGGTTCCAAAGTTAGCAGGTGCAGAGCTAGTTTGGTGGGGGTTTTTTCAAGATGACGCAACAAAACCACTTCAGAACAATATTATTTTCTATGTTGTGTGGTATTGGGGGGGGAAGTGTGTGAAGAACCAATTACTATTTAAGGGTGTTAGTTACCAGTTCATAGTTACTAGTCATATCTCTCCTTGCTTTTCCTATTTGTTTACACTGGCAAAAAGTAAATGTACAAAACATTTTTGCTAAGACCAGCCATGTCATAAGGGATGTTGAAAGATTTGAACAGTATTTTATTTAAATTTGGCATCTTAATTAATTTTGTTTCTATTTTGGAATGATTAAGAGAATATCTCAGTCATGTGATGTGTGAAATTTAAGATGAAAATTATCAAGTAATTGAAAAATATAGTGTTGCATCAGTAGTTAAGAATAAGTTAAACAGCTATTCTTAATACCACAAGAGGGCGTGCAAATGCTATGATAATATATGTGGTTGAAACGCTAGTATTTTATAGGCTTTTAAGTCCCTATTCTCTTCTCTCATA